TTTAGTATTTTTCTCTTTTTACCATTTTTGTAAACTTTATTTTGAGTATTACTTGGTCAATTTTTGCCATTTCTTTTCATTTTTATATTTGGCTTTTTAAAATGTATTTTCATCGTTAAATATAGAAAATAGCATAAAATTGTATACTTATGAACATCATATTCTGATTTATCAGTTATGTAAAATAGTTATAGTAATTTATATTTTGAATATACAATTTATTAAAAATTCATAATTGTATTTTTGTCAATTTGTTGTTTACTATATTGTATATATTATGTATAATTAAAATAAAAATATGAGTATGTTACAAAATAATATTCACGGTGAATAAATAAACTGAATATATTTTACTATATTTATATACATTCTAAATTAGATTAATTGTGTCAATAAACTTTATAAGGTTTATTGAATAATTAATATTGTTAATTTTCACAGTATTGAAAGAATGAGTTAATTAAAAAATATTTATACTTTGATTTGCACAAACTTATTTATTTTTATTAGATGAATTATAAAGAATATTTTATAGAATTCATTTTTTATTGAATATATATTTGAATATTAAAAAATATAATTCTACAACCAAGTTCCTCGAAAGATAATTTTTATATGAAAATATTTTTGTTTGATCCATATTAAAATTTCGGTTAACATTTACAAATGCTTCAATATTCGATAATATTTCTTCTAATTTATTTTTAATATTTAAAACAAATTTCTTATTATATAGATTATTTTTTCTTTGTAATGTTTACTATATTATATCACCGACTTTGGAATTATTTTCTATTAGAATTAGAATTTTTTTTTCATGTATACACGATGTTTTACATTTTGCGATTTCTATTTTAGTTCTAAATTGACAAGATATAAAATAAGAAATTTATTTAATAGATGAACTAATAAATAATTCATTATTTTATTCAAATATTTTTAAGTGCGTCTCTCTCTCTTTTCTTCCCTTTGCTTTATCTTTGTCATCACGTAAAAATGCGAGGTATATTTATGGCTCATAAGAAGAGGGACTAAATGCGTATCGAATTCCCATTGCGGAAGAGGCGAAGAAACACTGCAAAGCTATAGATATATTTCATGCATCTCCTGATTTATCTACTGTATTACCAATGTGTAATATACAAGTCATAAAAAAATTCGTAGCGTTACTGTATATCACAATTCTTATAGATATATATGCATACATTACTGCACGTATTTAATTTGCATGCATAATATTGATAAGCACAAAAAGATGTCTGGATAATATATGTTATATTTTCATATTGATTAAATACTTTTTCTATTTATTTTAATATTTGATTCAGTTAATTATAATATTCGATGTAAGGACAATCATAATTGTTAGATCATAAAAGGTGATAAATTGTAGTAACTGCATTTTATTTAAAATTTACTTTGTTAAGCATTATTTTAATAATTGTTTCATCATAATTTTCGAATAGTTTGTATGATAATGTTTTTCAAAGAGTATTCTACTATAAATCTTATACAATATTTTCGTATTATAAGCAATATTAATGAAATTTTTTTTTTCATCGTATTAAATTTAATTGACATTTATAAAGGACTGCTGAGAGTAGTTTAACTCAAACGACTTGTAAAATATTACTTTAATATTTAAATATATTTAATTTACTATAATCCAGTAAAAGATTACAATTTACCATTAAACATTATTTAATCAATAATCATATTCTAATTGATTAAAACTGTTGAGATAATACGATTCCTAAATAATATGATAATTGATATTGCTTTTAAAATTACATTTTTATATACATTATAAAATTAATTCTTATATTTGGATAAATTCCCGATTATTAATAATAAAAAAGAATAGTGGGATCAAAATAATTTGTAATAAATTTTTCATTGCAAAATGAGCAGTCATTACAAAAGCCTAGAATAAGGGTCAAATTAACAATTTTTCAACTACACACGAAAGAATGAATTTATATATTGATTAATCTGATGTTAAAGTAAGTAGTAAATTTTTTTAATTAATCAATAATTTTGTGCTTGCAATGAATAAAATTTTTTTATTATTGTTCAATTTTTATAAGTTTTAATAACATTCTGATTTAACTTTTAGAATTTCTTAAAACAGTAATGAGATTAAATTTTATGTTTTTATTTAATTTTTAAGAAAATTATATTATACATACCAACTATAAAATTTAATTTTATAATACGATGTTTAGATATTTATGAAAGTTATATTAACAAAATGTTTAGTGTTCATTGATTTGAATATACATATTTATGATATTTAATAAAAAAAATTTGAAAGAATTTAAAAGATATGATTAGATTTAGATTATGGAGTACAACGAAAAAGAATGATATCAGATCTATGTAATATACAATACTATAATTTAATTCTGAAAGAAAAAAGAAAGCTAAATTTGAGTGCCAGCATATATATAGCGTATAGTATTTTTCTCGTAATATAACAGTTTTTTCTATATTATATTTTCTGCTTTTAAGAGTATTTTAATAATATCATAAAAATGATGAAAGTTTTGTATATAATTATATGATTGAACCAGTAAAATGAATTGTTGACTTGAATATTAATATTGGTAAGTTAGAAATGAAATAATACAAGCGCCTGCTTGTCGAAGTAGCTTTGTTCAACATTCGAAAATCAATTTGTATTATCGATATTTTAAAATAAATAAAATGCGCAATAATAATAAGTAGAATAATATTTTATAAGATAGTATTGAGATGCTTATTTGACTAAATATTTAGGATTCAATATGTTTGCTTAAATATATGTTATATGAGCTACTATGGCAGT